GTTATACCTAGTGGCTTTATCATACTATTGTGAGTACAGTGGACTCTCGATAAGTGTCGCGTGCGAGAGAGATGGATATAGAAAAATAGCGCGTTCCATGCAGACTGACTGCCGGCTCCGGCGGCTCGCCCGACTCACCTGCCGGAGGAGTGGGGAGAGCGGAGCACTGCAGCAGCCAACGCACAGTACCCTCGATAACTGTCGCGGCGACATTTATCGAGAGTCCACTGTAATAGAAACGATCTCACCCAGTAATCCCCGGTGCTGTTGCTCGGGTGATATAGAACTAGGTAATTGTGCAGTAGTCATTTGAGTGGTAGGCCTCCCCCGTATTTTCAGCCAAACCAAGTTGCCAGCTCCGCTTCGCTCCACCGGCAACTCGGTTTGGCAGGGAGCGGGCCCAGCTTGGCCTGCCGGCGGCGTTTGGGACGGGCCTTCGGCCCGTCCCTTCTGAATTTTCATGGTGTTTTACATCTTCTATCAGAAAACGGGCCTTCGGCCCGTTGGAGTGACAGCTCGCTGTAAGCCATCCTTTTGCCAGGTACCTTTGCTGTCTACTTCGTAATCAAAACTAAACAAACGAAATATTCTTTTCATACGCTGGACACCTTTGGCTGTGTGTGCCGCAGTTTGCAGAATACATACAAGTTATGCCAGATCTCTTTTAAGTTATTGATGTTAGCTTATGAATCAAATAACAAACCTATGAAAAGATACATAAGACTAGCCCTAGAAGAAGTTAAATATACTTCCAGGCATACTCCGAATGACTCCGAACGCATTCGAACAACAAAATAAATGGGTTTTTTTGTGTGTGTGTGTTTTTTTTTTTTTTTGCATGGAAGTGTACACGTTTTATTCATGATGTCCCACCATAAAATTAGCCCACTCTTCTGCTTAGAAGAAAATTTTGAACCGACGGCATACTTCTCAGACAGAAGTGTACTTCTGAAAAAGTAAAAATATTTCTGTTTTGGCCAGTTTGGTAAGAAAAACTCCCTTTTGTAAGTAAACAGGACGAAACTTTAGCCCAAGAGGCTCTACTTTTACAAGTTACCCCTTAGGAAACCATCAAATGTTTTCTAAAATTAATATATTTATTTTTAAGCCACTTTTCTAGGGTAAAACTCCCTCTGGCGCGTAAACGGTGAGAGATAGAGCCAAACGCACTAAAAGTAAAGGAGTGACCTTTTTCGCTCCCAGGAGAGCGATATCAGTGAAGCCAATTTGACGACTCCTGGGAGAGCGATATAAATTACATCGCTCGTTTGCAATAACTTTTCGCGACATTTTTGGTTACGAATAAGACTAATTTTGAGTCATTTTCGCAAACGTCGCTCGTTTAGGGTCGT